AGTATGCGTGTGAATTGTGGGACGGTTGCATTAATACTTAATCAGATAAATTAGAGAAAGCCCAAAGAGAAGCTGTTCGTATTATAACTGGCCTTCCTTCTTATGCACGTATAGAAGATTTACATTTTGAAACTGGTTTAGATACACTTTCGAATCGTCGAAAACGAAGAAAACTTCAACTTTTATTTAAGATGCATAACAAGCTAACTCCAAATTATTTAAACGATCTCTTGCCACCTATTGTTGCAGATAATAACCGCTATAATCTTACAAATAACAATTATTATAGAGTTCCTCTATTTGGGCTTTCTCTTACAAACCTCTCATTTATACCTTCTACGCTTCGTAGCTGGAATTTGTTAGATTTCTCTGTAAGATCACTGCCTTCCATAGATTTGTTTAAAACCTCACTTACTTTAAATACACAACAATCCCCACATATCTATTTTAGTTATGGTGAACGGAAGTTAAACATGATACATACTGAACTAAGACACAGTTGTAGCTCCCTTAAATACGATCTTTATCGAGTAAATCTTGCTGAAAATCCAGTTTGCTCCCGTGGACATCCTTGTGGGAATGCCTTTCACTTTCTTCGTCATATAAATGGATTCCGGCAGGAAATTCTAAGAATATTGATGTTTATCGGGACAGCATTGATCGATGTATAGCAAGTTATTCCTTGTTGAAAGTGCAAGGACTGTGTACTAAGGATGCTGTTGATGACTACTCTAACAATTGTGCAATGCATTCAAACAACTTCAGAGAGGGTGTTGCCGAAAAAGAAATTCCATAAATTTCTAAGACCATATTGGAATGATCAACTGAAGGATCTCAATCGCACCATGTGGCGACTCCGCCGGGAATGGGCCTCTCAAGGCCGTCTTAGGAACCCAAACGACATATCCTTTTGTCAGTACAAAAATGCTAAACGATTATTTAGGAAAAAACACCGCCAAATTTCTGAGTATTGTAGATGTTAATGATGAAATCGAAAAGTGCTCGGACGTTAATCAAAAGTCCTTTTGGTCTTTGGTCAAAAGGCGCCACAAGACTTCTTCTGGCGCTGATGGTACGGACATGAACTTTAGTGGAACCGCCGTCAGAGATCCAGGTCTCCTAGCCTTTCATTGGAGTGAATACTTTAAAGAAATTTATTCCGAATCTGCGAGCTTTTGATATTCCCTTTGAAAAAAGAGTTAATACCTCAGTGGCCAATATTTTGTCCCATCATGAGATAAATGATAATTTTTATGAAGAATTCTCCAAATTTGAGATAAAAACTGTCTGTAAAGGCTGGTAAAGCAGCTGGTCACGACCATATTGTGTACGAGCACCTACTTTATGCTCCTGATACTATGTACGATTGTTTACATGTTCTTTTTAATGCTTTTGTAAGGTTAGAATATGTCCCTTCTGTCCTCACTAAAGGTCTTATCTCTACACTGTATAAAGGTCATAACAAACCAAAAAACGATCCAAATAGTTACCGAGCTATCTCTCTACTGCCAGTTATTCTGAAAGTTTTTGAAAAACTGTTACTTATTAGGCTTGAAGCTCAGGATTTATTTGTACCTAATCCGTTACAAAACGGGTTTCAAAGAAATGTTAGTAGCACAATGACGTCATTTTTAGTTCATGAATCAGTCTCTTATGCTTGCGACAGTAACAACAAACGTTTTACCTGTTTTCTTGACGCTGCCAAGGCATTTGACTCTGTTTGGCATAATGGCCTATTTTACAAACTTCACAATTTAAGTCTCAAGTCAAAGTACCTTCACGTGATTGTTTCGATATATTCCAATATGTATAGCGCAGTTTTATACCAAGGTTTCATCTCTAACTGGTTCAAGATATGCCAAGGTACGCGTTAAGGGAGCATTATTTCACCCTGGCTCTATACAGTTTTCATTAATGATTTACTTGATGAGTTATGTTTTTCAAAATATGTTCTAGCTTTGTATGGTGTAAATGTTACATGTCCAACTCAAGCAGACGATATAACGCTGCTGTCTCTATGTAAACGTGGCTTAGACAATCTTTTGGACATCTGCTATAACTATGGTTATAAGTCGAGATTTTTCTATAATGCTTCGAAATCAACATTTATTGTATTTAATGAAAGTAAACGTGTGTTTTCAAAGGCTAATCGTAATTGGAATCTCGGTTGCGAAGCCGTGGTTGAATCTACAAATTGTAAACATGTTGGTATTTTTATTAACAAGTTCAAACCAGGCAGTCCAGATTTCGATGAGATTGTGCATAAGCTACGTGGACAGTGCTTTGTCCTGCTTCATTGTAATTTGTTTGGCACCGGCATTAATCACTTGACAGTTGCCAAGTTGTATAAATCTGTTGTGATGCCAAGCAGTCTTTTTGGCTGTGAACTATGGCATTCTCTATCTGAAACTGAATGGAATCGCATTGAATCAGTTCATCACTTATGTGCAAAGCTGATTCAAGGTTTTCCTCGCCGGACTAGATCCGATATTGGCCTTAGTATGCTTGGGTTTATATCTATTTGCCTTTGTATTGAGCTATCAAAGCTCCGTTTTTTCTCTGCTTTATGCAATATAGATACTCGTTTAGCAGTTAAAAAGTTGTTCTTACACAGACATTTTCGTGTATATTTCGGCTTCCGTGGCAAGAAAGTTGACATTATACTAGATATTTGGAATTTATTTCACCGGTATGATTTACAGGATTTTTTTGTACCAATTTTTGCAAACTGGTGTCTTTCCGCCTAAAAGCCACTGGAAACACCTAACAAAGGACATTCTGATCAGCACGTACTCCTTTGGTTGGAGTGAACATCTAAATAACAGTGATGATTTTTGCAGATTTAAACATTTGCAGCGGGATGTTAGTCCCTCTCCTCTATGGTACCTTGCGAAATGGTCTCTACCAGACTTATAAAAATGTAGCAAGCTTTCGTGCGTTCCTCCAAATTGCGAGCTATCTTGTGCTCAGTGCAAGCTACTAGTCGACGATGCGGTTGCCCACTGTATTTTAGACTGCGGTAGTTCCACAATATTAAATCTACGTGACATTTTTTCACCAAAATAGTCAACGACTACCCGGTGAATGTCTATGTTACACTAGTTAACTCGTGTAGAGAGGTTCAAATTGCCATTATTCTTGGAAGTCCACCAGCTGTCATAGCAGACTTATTTCAGGGCACTGATTGTCTTCTTTTTGCCGAAAAGGCCTCTTTACTTACATTTAACTAGCCTTTAATCATCATTAATTTTATGTCCTTGTAATTATCACTTCATTATCTTTTCTCTGTATCTTTCTCTTTGTTCATTATATTTCTAAATACTTTGTGTCATAATATGTAATTACATGTATCTTCATTTGTAACTCTTCAATTTTGGAGGAATAAAGAAATGAATGAATGAATCTCGCCAGCGGCATACCCAGTAAACACACCACTTCCATGACGTAATGTTCTATATTTAGACACAGTGGCCCCGAATGCACGTTTACCTGTCTCATTAGTTATATGTTTTTAGATCGATCAAAGCGTTGAACAGAAAGTAGATGTTCCGTCAAGGTAAAGCGCCATACCTCTATCATCCTGATGTTTAATGCATCTTTATGATTATAAAAGTCACATATTAAACTTAAACCTCTCCCTGTAGGTTCCCCAGTATTTTCATCGTAAATCATCTACTACATCATTTGCTACAATATTTTATTGTTCAATTGGAAACTGCAATACGAGGTTACAAATTAATGGCTAAGGACAATAAGAGCATAATTGAAACTCATGAATGATGCCCGTAAGCAACTATATATGACACAAAATTTGAACAAAGGGCAATAATTCTGTAATAAAGGGGTTGCAGATCCTGGATTTGGTACACATCACATTAGTATGACCAAAGGATACATGAAGTTTTTATCATAGTTTAAATGCAAACAAAGTTATGCCCCGGAAAAGGGCAATAATTCTGTAATTGAAGGGTTGCAGCCACTGAATTTTGTACACACTGCAAATTGTCTTACTATGACCAATGTATACTGTAAGTTTCCCAAGTATTACTTAACTGCGGCAAAGTTATTCTCCGGACACATATGAAGTGACGGAAGTTCTGACGGACAGGCAAAGCGGCAAGAGATATTCACAAGTTTAAGAAGACGTTACTACTAGAGGTACACATTTGTATCAATATCAACGATATTCGTGACTAATTCATTACAAATTAGACTACAAATAAGCATACTTTAATTTACCATTCTGATTGTGTCCCTTTCCTTTCAGTTTGCCTGAAATCATTTGTGAAATTTGGTATTATAACTGAGTATTTTTCCTCTATAACTCTGTGTGACCTTCGTTTTAGAGAGTTTTTTCAAGCTACATTCAAAGTTCGGAATAATGCAATTTCAGAGATTTTAAGTTATCATAAAACTATATCATCTATTACACTCGTTGTGCTCCTGTTGAAGTATGTAGAATTACATCGTTTTATCGTAAATACTGTCCGCCAGGTGTCGCTGTACTGTTTTCCTGCGAGTTTTTTTCTCTCAGATCATCGAATCTTTTCCGCCAGGTGTCGCGGTACCACCTCCCTACAGGTGGTTATTTCTTCAAGAGTGTCGTGAATCCTGTCCGCCAGGTGTCGCGGTAAAATTAAAAACAAAAAACAAAAACAAAAAAAAACTGACATGGAGTCGCTGTTTAATGTTTTCCCGATGGTGTTTATCTCGAGGGTGTCATTGTGTATCCTGTTCACCAGCTTGATATATCTTTGGTCATTACTTGTAAACTAATAGGACAGACACTTACAGTACGGACAGATAAAGTAACGTGCACGTACGTTACAGACAGACATAATAATACACACCTACGTACGTTACGGACAGTCAAAGTATTTAATATATATCTATGTACTGACAGTTTTAACAAAGATCACTGATTCACTTTAATCCGAAAAAGATGAGAAGACTTTGAGATCGGAGTATCAAAGTTCTAGATAGTTTTTAAAGACGACTCTCTACATCAATTCCTCAATGGATGCCTTGAGCTTGTTTACATTGGTTCCGAGTACCATTCTTATCTGTCAAAAGAAACAAAAAAAGTTCAACGAGGCTATAAAGAGTTGTCTTTTTTAAAACATAACGCGAATGGTGAACTGTGTATGTTGACTACAATAAATATTGTTTACAAAGTATGTCATGTTTGATGACAGAGACTTGGTCAGGCGTTTGTCATATTGCTAATAAATATTGTCCGCCAGGTGTCGTTGTATGTAAGCTTACCTTTTCCCCTTTTTTGAAGAACATAAACGCGGGCATCATTTGCACTTCATACTCCTCGGCAACATCCTAAAACGACACATTATCAGGGTGTGTTAATGTTACATAAGCTCCTTCGTATCAACCACATAGTACTACCACCTGGATCAAATTACCTCCTGACACATATACCTATAACTGTATCTCACCGTTATAGAAATAAGTATACCATACATACACATATCATTATACCATACACATATAATTATACCATACACACATAATTATATCATACACATTTAATTATATCATACGTACACATATGATTATACCATACACATATAATTATATCATACACATATAATTATATCATACACATATAATTATATCATACATACACATATAATTATATCATACACATATAATTATATCATACATACACGTATAATTACATCATACATCCACATATAATTATATCATACACATATAATTATATCATACACATATAATCAAATCATACATACACATATTTGTACAAACGTAAGGAACATTAGATGTTGGATTTTTACCTTGTTCCTTACGTTTGTACAAATGTCTACTCCAAATTCAAACAGCAATTCTTATCTATATTCTTTTGGCTATTGCTGGGGATATTCATCCCAATCCCGGTCCTAAATCAAACAACAGTTCCATCATCCACTCATTAAATATTCTGCACTTAAATATCAGAAGCTTGAGAAACAAACTTGATTATATCCAAACACTGACTGATGACATAGATGTCCTTTGTCTGACAGAAACACATCTTGATAATACTGTTTCTAATGATCAAATTATAATAGATGGTTTTTGTAAGGAACCCTTTAGAAAAGATAGAAATATGTTTGGAGGTGGTGTAATAATGTACTATTCTTCTTCTTTAGTTGCAAAACGTCTAATTGATCTTGAATGTCTTAACGATGAAATTATATGGGCTCAATTTGTTTTTAAAGGTAAAATTTTTGTTATTGGTAATTTATATAGACCTCCTAATACAAGTAACTTGAACGGACTGTGGCAACGTATAAATTTATCTCTTGATCGGGCTTTTGAACTCACAAATAATGTTATTCTATTGGGAGATCTTAATAAAGACTTTCTTAAACCTCTCCGAGGTGAACCTTCCACCATATTTACATCTTACTACTTAAAAAAATATTATTACAGAACCTACCAGAATCACGGCTGAATCTTCTTCTTTATTGGATCCAATTTTAATTAGTGACAGCGTGAATATTCTCTACTCGATAGATCTATTAGTGATCATGATGCTGTCTTTGTTATTATTGATGTACCTAATATTATAAACAAAGTGGTCAAAAGAAAGGTCTGGTTATATAATAGAACTGACACTGACGGACCTAAGAAATTTATTTCTGATATTCCATGGAATCACGCTTTGAATGAGTTAAATGATGTAAATGATATGTGCGAATTTTTAACTACCAATATTTAAATTGCTGCAAACACCTGTATTCCTTTTAAGGAAGTTCAATTACGTACTCATGATAAACCCTGGATGAACAACTCTGTACGTCATCAAATTAGAATAAGGGATAGATTAAAAAAACAATATATTCGAAGAGGTAGTAACTTTAATAAGAACAAATATAAAACTGCAAGAAATAAGGCTAATAATATGATTAAACGGGCCAAAGAATTGTTTTATGAAAATATTGATACTATTATCGATAAAAGTAAATCTGAACCTAAAACTTATTGGAAACTCTTGCGTCTATTGATGAAAGGAAAGAAAAATGTTGAAATACCCCCACTCTACGATGAAAAATCACATGAATATATTTTTAATGACAAAGACAAGTGTGAACTCTTAAACAACTTTTTTTCTTCCATATCTTCACTTTCTGATAATGATAAGTCTGTACCTCACTTCAAGAAAAGAACTAATTCTACTCTTTCTGATCTCATTATTTCACAAAATGAAATTGAAGATGTAATTCACTCATTAAATGTAAATAAAGCTTCAGGTCCAGATGGGATTAGTCATAAAATGTTGAAATTTATTTCCAAAGAAATTTCCTTACCCCTTTCTATTATTTTTAATTTTTCTCTTTCCAAAGGCTCATATCCCGATAAATGGAAATTTGCTAGTGTAATGCCTATCTTCAAATCGGGTGATCACAACAAAGTGTCAAATTACAGACCCATATCTCTTCTTAGCTGTATCGGTAAACTTTTTGAACGTGTGATATACAAACACATATATAACTTCCTTTTTGACAACAGTCTTGTCTACAAATTCCAGTCAGGTTTCTTGCCAAATCATTCTTGCACGCATCAACTTATCGAGTTGTATCATACCCTCCAACTTAGTTTAGAAAAATATGAGCATACTGCATTTGTCTTTTGTGATTTTTCTAAGGCATTCGACAGGGTTTGGCATATTGGTCTTCTTTATAAATTAGAAAAAACATGGAATTAATGGTAAACTTCTTCAATGGCTTTCAAGTTATCTTTCCAATAGAACTCAATCTGTCTTTATAAATGATTCTCGCTCTACTGTTATGAATACCTCTGCAGGAGTTCCTCAAGGTTCTGTTCTAGGGCCTCTACTTTTTCTAATCTATATAAATGATATCTACACAGAACTTACATCTTTATCACGCTTGTTTGCAGATGACACATCACTCTCCTACTCTTCTCGTAATATAGCAGACATAGAAATAGCAGTTAATAGTGATCTGAGAAAATTAGAAAAATGGTCGAAAGATTGGCTAATGTCTTTTAATCCACACAAAACAGAAATAATGATAATATCTAACACACGACCTGATCACCAACCACAATTTATTTTTAACAATACTTATATAGAACTTACAGATCATCACAAACATTTAGAAGTCATACTGAGTAATGATGGATCATGGAATAAACACGTAGAAGAAGTTACTAAAAAGGTATCTAAATATATAGCAACTTTACGTAGGTTAAAATTAATTCTAAACAGGCACACTTTAGAAAAAATGCATCTCACATACATAAGGCCATTATTAGAATACGCCTGTGAAGTTTGGGATAATTGTGGAGTTAATATGTCATCAAATATTGAAAAAATTCAATAAGAGGCAGCCCGAATTGTGACTGGTTTACCCATTTATACTAGATCTGACTTTCTACTAAATGAAACGGGCTGGGAAGAACTTAAAGTACGACGTCAACATCGCAAGTTTTCTCTTTTTTATAATATAATTAATGGGATCGCACCATCTTTCCTCACTGACTTTATCCCTGAACATATTGGTAATCTCACTAGGTATGACTTACGAAATGCATATCAGTTATGACAACCAACTTATCGTCTTCAATCTATGTGTAACTCTTTTTTTCGTTCTACAACTAAACTCTGGAATAGATTAGATGAATCTTTAAAAACGGCTGGTTCACTAAAATTGTTTAAAACCAAACTGCGTCCAAAAAACTCCAACAAGCTTAAATCGTGTTTCCTATCATATGGCCCCCGTCAACTGAATATTCTTCATTGTCGTTTAAGAAATAGGGCAAGCTCACTCAACTATGACCTATTCAGAGCCAATCTCATGAACTCAGCATCTTGCTCCAGCGGACATCCCTCTGAAGATTCCTTTCATTATTTAATTCATTGTTCGAACTACATTCAAATTCGTAACACCCTGTTCACCGAACTGTCGTGGTATCAGGGTGATATCTCGATAGATGTACTTTTAAATGGAGACGTACGACTAAGTTCAGCTGAAAACTCACTTTTAGCTAGAGCTGTTCAAAAATTTATTGATGCCTCTGGGCGATTTGGCTAGTTTCTGCATTTCTTCCTTTGTACTATATATTCCCTTTTTCCTTCCTCACCTATCCTCCTTTCTTCTTTACATCCTTCTTTTTTTTGTTTCATTGAAAAATATTATGATTCAATATATTGTTACATTGCTTGTAGTTAAGTATTTTTTTTACCATCCATGTAATGGAGAGGGCTTAATAAGTTGGAAAAACTTGTGCCCAATCCAATTGTACAAAGTTTTGCAATAAAATAATTATTAAATCAAATCAAATATTTATACCATACATACACATATAATTATATCATACACATATAATTATACCATATAATTATACCATACACATATAATTATATCATACATACACATATAACTATATTATACATACACATATAATTATATCATACATACACATATATTTATATCATACCCATATACTTATATCATACATACACATATAATTATACCATACACATATAATTATATCATACACATATAATTATACATACACATATAATATATATCATACATACACATATAATTATACCATACACATATAATTATATCATACACATATAATTATATCATACACATATAATTATATCATACACATATAATTATATCATACACATATAATTATACATACACATATAATATATATCATACACATATAATTATATCATACACATATAATATATACATACACATATAATTATATATACATACACATATAATTATACCATACACATATAATTATACATACACATATAATTATATCATACATACACATATAATTATATCATACATACACATATAATTATATCATACACATATAATTATACATACACATATAATTATATCATACATACACATATAATTATACCATACACATATAATTATACATACACATATAACTATATCATACATACACGTATAATTATATCATACATACACATATAATTATACTATACACATATAATTATACCATACACATATAATTATATCATACACGTATAATCATATAATACAAATAATTTTACCATACATACATACGTTTTTATATAAGACAAAACGATGATATTTTAGTGTTGCTTAAGACAGGCAAGCGAAAGTACATTATGTATATGGCATAAACCTGGAGGATTCATTTAATATAAAATATCTTGGGCCTACCAAAAGAGAGGTCTGTTACCTTTACGTACTTACCGCAGCTTCATCGACGTCCACCTCACAAAATACCAAATCCTCAAACACCTTACTCTCCGCCATTTCCTAAAATTTTTAAAATAAGGTAAAACATTACCATGACGACCATATCATTTGTACGCTTTGAGGCTGAAATTCTGATTCAAAATGGATTCATTTATTCAGTAACCAAGATCAGGATCAAGGGAACTGTTATTGGTCATAGATAACACAGATTTAAGAAATCTTATATGGTGTCCTAATAGTCACTTAATTATATTAATACACATCGATACCGTCACCATAGTAATATATATCAATATCGTCACATAGTAATATATATATCAATATCGTCACCATAGTAATATATATCAATATCGTCACCATAGTAATATGTATTTATATAGTCACCACAGATATATATATATATATCAGTATAATCGCATAGTTATATATATCAATATCGTCACCATAGTAATATATATCAATATGGTCAAATAGCAATATATAACAATACCGTCATCATAGTAATATATACCAATATCGTCACCACAGTAACATATTTCAATATCTTCACCATGGTAATATATATCAATATCGTCACCACAGTAATATATATCAATATCGTAACCATATTAATATATATCAATATCGTCACCTCAATAATACATATCAATATCGTCACCATAGTAATATATTTCAATATCGTCACCACAGCAATATATTTCAATATGGTCACATAGTAATATATATCAATGCCGTCACATAGTAATATATATATATCAATATCGTCACCACAGTAATATATATATCAATATGGTAACAAAGTAATATATATCAATATCGTCACCAGAGTAATATATATCAATATCGTTACCAGAGTAATATATATCAATATCGTTACCATAGTAATATATATCCATATCGTCACCATAGTAATATATATTAATATCGTTACCACAGTAATATATATCAATATCGTAACCAAAGTAATTTTTATCAATATCGTCACATAGAAATATATATCAATATGGTCACATAGTATTATATATCAATATCGTCACCAGAGTAGTATATATCAATATCGTCACCAGAGTAATATATTTCAATATCGTAACATAGTAATATATATCAATATGGTCACATAGTAATATATACTCAACAAAAAAAGAAAGGTTAACATGTTTCCTTGGCGAATAGCTGTAAATGAGTGAAAGCAAAATGACGTTTGTGCAATATTAGAAAATGGTAATGTTTTACATTACAAAATCCAAGGGGGTTACCAAAATCATTCAAGCGTGAAAGTCTGTATTAACGAAAGAGCTGCACGAGGTTTTCTGCGACTAACTTGTATCTTCGCTTGAATTTCATAAACATTCAAACTGACAACTGTTCCTTAGATCCTTAGGACTTAGAAATCACCGAATCTTGCTATCTATCAACTTTATCATTATGCCCTGGCTGTCACAAGTACAGAGAGAAAGGGCTGTAGGCAGGATCCAGGCTGGGGAGTCTCGCCGTCGAGTTGCACGGCATTTTGGTTGCAGTGTTAAGACAATTTGCCAGTTGGTAAGTCGTTTAAACCAAACTGGGTCAACATCCGATGGTCCCCGAAGCGGCCGACCCCGTAAAACGACCGCCAGGGATGACCGTCGTATACGATTGATACACTTGCGCAATCGATTCGTAACCGCAGTAGAGACTACAAGGACATTGTTTGGGCGTCGTGTGTCTCCCCGAACAGTCCGCAACAGGTTGAGGGCCTACCAATTGAAAGCGCGGCGTCCCTACACTGGACCCAATTTGTTGCGACGTCACCGTAATAATCGCCGTAACTGGACCCGTATTCACCGTCGTTGGGCCTTACGACAATGGAACAATGTTCTGTTTTCAGATGAGTCCAGGTTTTGTCTGCAACACGGTGACGGGAGGCGCAGAGTGTGGAGGTGACGAGGGGAGCGTTTTGAGAACTGCTGCGTCGCAGAACGGGACCGCTTTGGCGGCGGAAGTGTAATGGTTTGGGGTGGTATTTGTGGGGGACTCGTACCAGGCTTGTTGTGTTAAATGGTAATTTAACCGGCATTCGATATCGGGAAGAAATTTTAAGACCAGTGGTTCTGCCATTCTTAAGACGCCATGGCGTTGGCGCCATTTTTCAACAGGATAACGCACCAGCGCACACCAGTCGCGTCAGTTGAACTTTCTTGCAGCAGAATAACGTACTGGTGTTATATTGGCTATCTAAACCACCTGATTTGTCACCGATTGAGCATGTCTGGGACGTTCTTGGGCGACGCGTGAGAGAACGTCAAAATCAGCTGTCAAACTTGCAGGAGCTGGCCCAAGCCTTGATCGCTGAATGGAACAACATCTCTCCTCGAATTATCTGCCGGTTTACGAGTTCCATGCGACGACGCTGCAATCTGTTTACTTCACAAACGGTGGCCATACCCGTTACTAATCGTGTTACCTTTGAAATTGACCCCAACGTCCTTTACAGTCGAATAAAATCAACTGAACGCAAAGTTTTATAATGAACCATGACTGCAGTTTTATCAGAATTGATCAATTACTTTATTCGTACATGATTGGTAAGGATTTATGAAGGGGTTAATTAATTAATCAGAGAATAAAGTAGTGTTACCTTTCTTTTTTCTTTAGTATATATCAATATCGTAACCACAGTAATATATTTCAATATCGTCACATATTTATATATATCAATATCGTCACCATAGTAATATATTTCAATATCGTCACCATTGTAATATATATCAATATCGTCACCATAGTGATATATATATAAATATCGCTACATAGTAATATATATCAATATCGTTATAAAGTAATATATATCAATATCGTCACCTCAGTAATATATATCAATATCGTCACCATAGTAATATATATCAATATCGTCACCTCAGTAATATATATCAATATCGTCACCATAGTGATATATATCAATATCGTCACCATAGTGATATATATCAATATCGTCACCATAGTAATATATATCAATATCGTCACCTCAGTAATATATATCAATATCGTCACCATAGTAATATATATCAATATCGTCACCATAGTAATATATATCAATATCGTCACCTCAGTAATATATATCAATATCGTCACCTCAGTAATATATATCAATATCGTCACCACAGTAATATATATCAATATCGTCACCATAGTAATATATATCAATATCGTCACCATAGTAATATATATCAATATCGTCACCATAGTAATATATATCAATATCGTCACCACAGTAATATATATCAATATCGTCACCAAGTAATATATATCAATATCGTCTCCATATTAATATATATCAATATCGTCACCATAGTAGTATATATCAATATCATCACAATAGTTATATAAATCAATATCGTCTCCATATTAATATATATCAATATCGTCACCATTATAATATATATATCAATATCGTCACCATAATAATATATATAGATATCGTCACCACAGTAATATATATCAATATCGTCACCATAGTAATATATATCAATATCGTCACCATAGTGATATATATCAATATCGTCACCACAGTAATATATATCAATATCGTCACCATAGTAGTATATATCAATATCGTAGCCATTATAATATACATCAATATCGTCACCACAGTAAGATATATCAATATCATCACCGTAGTTATATAAATCAATATCGTCTCCATATTAATATATATCAATATCGTCACCATAGTAATATATATCAATATCGTCACCTCAGTAATATATATCAATATCGTCACCATAGTGATATATATCAATATCGTCACCACAGTAATATATATCAATATCATCACCATAGTTATATATATCAATATCGTCACCGTAGTAGTATATATCAATATCGTCACCATAGTGATATATATCAATATCGTCACCATAGTGATATATATCAATATCGTCACCATAGTAATATATATCAATATCGTCACCCTAGTAGTATATATCAATATCGTCACCAAAGTAATATGTATCAATATCGTCACGAAAGTATTATATATCAATATCGTCACCAAAGTATTATATATCAATATCGTTACCATAGTAATATATATCAATATCGTCACCATAGTAATATATATCAATATCGTTACAAAGTAATTGACATCGATATTGTAACCATAATAAAAGTATGCACGAATACCTTGAATACTGGACCAATGGTACGGCACGGTTGACACCACGAGGCTTGGAAGTCGACAACCACCAGTTTGTTCTCCGCCTCCGCAAGGACTCGTTTGAACTCGTCCTGTGTAATAAACAAAACAAAATGTCGGTTACATAATTGCATTATTTTCACATTTTCATTGTAAGGAATCAGTCAGTGAAAAGCAGGAATATGACTGATAAAGATCAGTTGTTGTGACAAACGTATGCTTTACCAGGTACTAGAACCAACTGACGAAATTTTTTTTTAGATCATAATGGCGACCAAGAGAATTATAGCAATCTATCGTGTCAACGAAATCTAGTGAGGATTCCGTGTTTCTGTGTAAATGTATACTGTCTCTATAATTGAATGGGCTGCGTTGATTTCAATGTGACGTTTTTCAAAAGCATTCTCCTTTGAAGGTGATGACGCATTCACAACCAAAATGTTTTCCATGTATAACTATATTAGCCGATCCTTCCTGAGGTTTACTACTCATACCTATGTAAACAGATCCTTCCTGAGGTTTACTACTCATACCTATGTAAACCGGTCCTTCCTCAGGTTTACTACTCATACCTATGTAAACCGATCCTTCCTGAGGTTTAATACCAATACCTATGTTAACAGAATTACTACCCATACCTATGTTAACCGATCCTTCCTGGGATTAACTATCCATAAATATGTGAACAAATCCTTCCTGAGGTTTACTTATCATACCTATGTTAACAGTTCATTCCTGAGGTTTACTACCTATACCTATGTTAACAGATCCTTCATGAGGTTAACTACAAATACCTATGTTCACCGATCCTTCTTGACGATTAATTCCCATACCTATGTTAACCGATCTTTCCTAAGGTTTAATACCAATACCTATGTTAATCGATCCTTCCTGGGATTAACTATCCTTAAATATGTTAACAAATCCTTTCTGAGGTTTACTTATCATACCCATGTTAACAGTTCCTTCCTGAGGTTTAAAACCCATACCTATGTAACCGATCCTTTATTAGGTTTACTTCCTAAACCTATGTTAACCGATCCTTCCTGAGGTATACTACCCATACCAATGTTAACCTATCCTTCCTGAGGTTTACTACCCATATCAATGTTAACCTATCCTTCCTGAGGTTCCTTATCCATACCTATGTTAACAGTTCCTTCCTGAGGTTTAAAACCCATACCTATGTTAACCGATCCTTCCTGAGGTTTACTACCCCTACCAATGTTAACCTATCCTTCCTGAGGTTAACTATCCATAACTATGTTAACCGATCCTTCCTGAGGATTAATTCCCATACCTATGTTAACCGATCCTTCATGAGGTTTACTACCTATACCTTTGTTAACCTATCCTTCCTCAGGTTTACTACCCATAACTATGTTAATCGATCCTTCCTCAAGTTGACTACTCCCACCAATATTAAGCAAACCTTCCGCAGGTTTACTAAAAATACGTTTGTTAACAGATCATTCCTTAGGTTTTCCACCCATACCTATGTTAACCGATCCTTCCTGAGGTTTACTACCCATACCAATGTTAACCGATCCTTCATGAGGTTTACTACCCATACCAATGTTAACCTATCCTTCCTGAGGTTCCTTATCCATACCTATATTAACCGATCATTCCTGAGGATTACTACCCCTACCAATGTTAACCTATCCTTCTTGAGGTTAACTACCCTTACCTATGTGAACCGATCCTTTATTAGGTTTACTCCCTATACCTATGTTAGCCTATCCTTTCTGAGGTTTACTACCTATACCTATGTTAACAGATCCTTCATGAGGTTTGCTAATCATACCAATGTTTACCAATCATTGCTAAGGTTTACTTCCAATACCTATGTTAATCGATCCTTCCTCAGGTTTACTACCCATACCAATGTTAACCTATCCTTTCTGAGGTTAACTACCCATACCTATGTTAACCGATCCTTCCTCAGGTTTACTACCAATTCCGCAGTTTTACTAAAAATACGTATGTTAACAGATCCTTCCTTAGGTTTTCCACCCATACCTATGTTAACCGATCCTTCATGAGGTTTACTAATTATACCTATGTTAACCAATCCTTCCTGACGATTAATTCCCATACCTATGTTAACCTATCATTCCTGAGGTTTACTACCCATACCTATGTTAACCGATTCTTCCTCGGAATAATTATCCATAAATATGTTAACAAATCCTTTCTGAGGTTTACTTATCATACGTATGTTAACAATTCCTTCCTGAGGTTTAAAACCCATACCTATGTAATCGATACTTTATTAGGTTTACTCCCTATACCTATGTTAACCTATCCTTCCTGAGGTTTACTACCCATACCTATGTAAACCGATCCTTTCTAAGGTTTACTAATCATACCTACGTTAACCGATCCTTCCGGTGGTTTATTACCCATACGTATGTTAACCGATCCTTCCTGAGGTTTACTACCCATACCTATGTTAACCTATCCTTCCTGAGGTTTACTACCTATACCTATGTTAACCTATCCTTTCTGAGGTTTACTACCTATACCTATGTTAACAGATCCTTCATGAGGTTTGCTAATCATACCAATGTTTACCAATCATTGCTAAGGTTTACTTCCAATACCTATGTTAATCGATCCTTCCTCAGGTTTACTACCCATACCAATGTTAACCTATCCTTTCTGAGGTTAACTACCCATACCTATGTTAACCGATCCTTCCTCAGGTTTACTAGCAATTCCGCAGTTTTACTAAAAATACGTATGTTAACAGATCCTTCCTTAGGTTTTCCACCCATACCTATGTTAACCGATCCTTCATGAGGTTTACTACCTATACCTATGTTAACCTATCCTTCCTGAGGTTTACTACCCATAACTATATTAACCGATCCTTTCTGAGGTTTACAAATCATACATATGTTAATCGATCCTTCCTCAAGTTGACTGCTCACACCAATATTAACCAAACCTTCCGCAGGTTTACTAAAAATACGTTTGTTAACAGATCCTTCCTGAAGTTTTCCACCCATACCTATGTTAACCGATCCTTCCTGAGGTTTACTACCCATACCAAAGTTAACCAATCCTACCTGAGGTTAACTACCCATACCTATGTTAACCGATCCTTCCTGACGATTAATTCCCATACCTATGTTAACCTATCATTCCTGAGGTTTACTACCCATACCTATGTTAACCGATCCTTCCTGGGAACAATTATCCATACATATGTTAACAATTCCTTCCTGAGGTTTAAAACCCATACCTATGTAACCGATACTTTATTAGGTTTACTCCCTATACCTATGTTAACCTATCCTTCCTGAAGTTTACTACCCATACCTATGTAAACCGATCCTTTCGCTGGTTTATTACCCATACGTATGTTAACCGATCCTTCCTCAGGTTTACTACACATACCAATGTTAACCAATCCTTCCTGAGGTCCCTTATCCATACCTATATTAACCGATCATTCCTGAGGATTACTACCCCTACCAATTTTAACCTATCCTTCCTGAGGTTAACTACCCTTACCTATGTGAACCGATCCTTCTAGAGATTTACTACCCATACCCATGTTAACCTATCATTCCTGAGGTTAACTACCCATATGTATGTTACCCGATCCTTCCTGAGGTTAACTATCCATACCTATGTTAACCGATCCTTCATGAGGTTTACTACCTATACCTATGTTAACCTATAGTTCCTGAGGTTTACTACCCATAACTATGTTAACAGATCCTTCCTTAGGTTTTCCACCCATACCAATGTTAACCGATCCTTCCTGAGGTTTACTACCCATACCTATTTTAACCGATCCTTCCTGAGGATTAATTCCCATACCTTTGTGAACCAATCCTTGCTAAGGCTTACTACCAATACCTATGTTAATCAATCCTTCCTCAGGTTTACTACCCATGCCTACGTTAACCAATCCTTCCTGAGGTTTACTACCCATATCTATGTTAACAGATCCTTCCTGACGATTAATTCCCTTACCTATGTCAACCGATCATTCCTGAGGTTTACTACCCATACCAATGTTAACCAATCCTACCTGAGGTTAACTACCTATACCTATGTTAACCTATGCTTCCTGAGGATTAATTCCAATACCTTTGTTAACCAATCCTTGCTAAGGCTTACTACCAATACCTATGTTAATCGATCCTTCCTCAGGTTTACTACCCATACCAATGTTAACCTATCCATCCTGAGGTTTACTACCCATACCTATGTTAACAGATCCTTCATTAGGTTTGCTAATCATACCAATGTTTACCCATCCTTGCTAAGGTTTACTACTAATACCTATGTTAATCGATCCTTCCTCAGGTTTACTACCCATTCCAATGTTTTTTTTTTCTCTCTAATTTTTTATTTCCATTAGCAATTCATACAGTACAATGTATTACAGATATTTGTATTTCTCATTCACAACACTTGTTTTTATCATAATACCTATTACACATAATATTTCAGTACCTGGTACAGAAATATGATTTATATTCATATATCATTACTTCAGGGCACATGTGTAAAAACACATTTAATTTGCTCTGAAACAGAATCAGCACCTAGGATATAACATAGTTGACAAACATTTATAACTGTATTTTTAATGCATGTAACAACTGATAGAATCTGAAATCTTCTCTATTTGTCCTTATTATCATATCTATTCTGTCTCTCAACTCATTTCTTATCTTACCAATTAGAGATAGAGGATTTTGTATTTCATTTTCAAATTTCTTTGAATTTCTGGCCTTCCAGATTAACCACTTAGAATGAAAAATTACAATGTTACAGAGTTTGTTGATGTTCTCTGGATATTCTGATATACCAAAAATCCTTTCTTTATCAGTTAAAACAATATACTGATAATCTACTGAAACATTAAAGAGACACTCATTCAATAACCTTTGAATTTGTAGCCATACCTCTTCACTCAATCTGCACTCACTAAAAAGATGTTGTTGTGTTTCTTGTTCTTCCTTACAAAAATTACAAAGACCATTTGATTTCTTCATTTCTTTCAATTTGTGTTCAGTGGTTATAATTCTGTGTATACTTCTCCACTGAAAATCTTTTACTTTTTTTTCTAGTCTACTGCTGTTTAATGAATGCCAAACTGCTTTCCACTCTAGATTGTAGTCTGTATCCCATTTCTGAATAGATTTTATCTGATTTGCTGTTTGAAACAATACATTTTTAATAGCTTTATTAAATAGTTTATTTAGTGCCAGCAAATTTTTACCATAAATGAAATATAAATCTTCTGTAATTTTGAATTTAGCTCTATTGTTTCCATTGTTATTTTGTAGCATATTTTTCCATTCCAAAGAGAAGGCTTTTCTTATAGTTGTATACTCTGATATCCAATTATTCTTTAATCTTAATTTTCTAAGAAATTCTCCTGATGTAATAAAGTCATGCTGTTCCGTATCCCAAATATCTTGAACCTTGGTAATCCCACTACTTGCCCACCCTTTATAAAATATAGGACTGTTTTTAAATAGTGGATTGTGGTTTCCAAATAAGTTCTGGTTGAGTACATCATCTGAAGTGGAAATAGAAGTGGTTCTCAGCAACTTTTGCCAATAGAACAGCCCTTCTAAATATATTTCTGAGATTTTGCTAATTTCTAAATTCTTAATGTTACTACATCTGCATAAATAATAATTTGCATGATATACTGCATCATATTTTTGCAACATATTTTTCCCAATTATGTTCCAAGATTGGATATCACTGTGAATAAGACGGTATATTAATTTAATTCTGTTTATTGCAATAATGACATCTAGGTCTACCATGTTCAAGCCTCCTTCTTTCTTTTCTAGATAAACAGCTTCTTTTGAAACTTTGTTTATTTTACTTCCCCACAGAAATTCATAGATTAATATATTTATTCTACGCTTATATTCATTTGGTATTGTGTTTTGTGCTAATTCATATGTCAACTGTGAACACAACAGTGACTTAATTATAAGGGTTTTTCCTTCTAGTGTCAAATGTCTTGGTCTCCATGTTTTAATTATGCTTTCTATTTTTTTTATTTTATTTTCCCATACCCGTTTTTTATCTATATTGTACCCCATATAAATTCCTAGAACTTTAATGTTGTCTGTCACCCATGATATCTCCATGTAGTTTGGAGGTCGTTGCTTCCAACTACCAATATACATACCTTTTGTTTTCTTCTTATTGATACGTGCGCCTGAAGCTTTCTCGTAGCATTCAAGTACTTTAAAAAGATATTTAATGCAATTTTCTTTACTTAAAAATAGTTGAGAGTCGTCCGCGAACATGCTAATTTTAGTTTGTAACTTTACATCATTGACTATTGGTAGATCGATTCCAGTTATATTATTATCTTTCCTTATTGAACATGCCATTGCCTCTGCCTGAATAATATATAATATTGGTGCTAAAGGGCACCCTTGTTTTACTGAACGAGATATTTTGAAGAATTTAGACAAGTGTCCATTTGTTAGAATACAACTTTTTGAAAATTTATAGGTCATATTTATATATTCTCTCATTGATTTTCCAAAATTGAACTTCTCTAGACATTTTTCTAACCAACCCCATTCCACTCTATCAAACGCTTTTTGTTGATCTAAGAAGATAATAATACCTCCCTTCTGCTCCATATCTGTGTAATCGACAATATCAGTTAATAATCGTATTGATTCTTCTATATTCCTGCCTTTAATAAACCCTCTCTGATCGCTATGTATAATATTTTGTAGTAATGGTTTTATTCTTTCTGCTATTAACTTGGCTATAATCTTATAATCAGTGTTAAGAAGGGTGATCGGTCGCCAGTTTGATATATCTTCCCTCTCCCCTTGCTTATACTTTAATCTAATTATTCCTCTGTACTGGGAAGAAGACAAAACTTTAGAATTAAAAATTTCCACTATTACTTCAGTCAGTTGCTTTTGATCATATGCCAAAAGAGTTGATAGAATTCAAAAATTATCCCATCACTCCCCGGTGCCTTACTTTTTTTCAGAGTTTTAATGACTTTTAAAATTTCTTCTTCAGTAGGAATTTTATCACAATCTAGGTTTTCTGCTTCTGTTAATCTTGCATCTACATTCATTAAAAGCTTCTCTGCTTCCTGTTCATTCCATCCCTCTGAAGTAAACAGTTTCTGATAAAATTTAACTTGTTCCTCCAGATTTTTTTCTATATCTGAACTGTAGAGACACATTTTCACATTTCACTGTAGTCCATTGTTTATTTTGAGCCCTAGATTTTTCTAAATTACAAAAAGTAATTAGTAGATCTTTCACCTTCCTCATACCATTGCACTCTTGATCGAACTCTAGCTGCTTCTGCGAGACTATTGTAATAAGATTGAATTTCTGCTGAGATATTAAACAATTCTGTTTCATCAAACTCCTTATCTGTGTCTTTTCTTCTGTGTATATCTACTAATTTTGATTCTAACTTTTTTATATGATTTTTGGGTTTATTTATGATATGACTGCTCATTATACTTAATTCCTGTACTTTGATTTTAGTTAATTCCCACCATTGAATTTTACTCTCATACTCATTTATATTATCTTTCCATTTTTCCCAAAAGTTCTTAAACAAATCTTTGAATATTTCAGATTTAATTACTTCTGAATTCATTTTCCAATATCCTTTTCCTATTTCTACTTCACTGAAGTTAAACATTATTACCGGTGAGCCATAATGGTCATTCTCAGTAAAGGGACATAACTCTATATTAGAATATGTTACTAAATAATCTATTGATTTACTAGTTAAAAAATAATCAATTCTGGATTGTTTCCTGCCTCTTTTGAAAGTGTATGATTTAATTCCTGGGTGCCTACGTCTCCAAATATCTTCAACATCTATAGATTTGATCTGCTCTTTCAATTCATCCTGACCTGTCTCAGTCATTGAGGTGCAATTTTTCCTGTCTGATTTTATATTTTGTACGCAATTAAAATCCCCACCTACTATATGTTTGGTATTACTGAAAGGTACATCACTAAGTTTTTCACTCATATTTTTGAAAAAGTCTATTTTATCCTGTTCTTCATTGGGTGCGTACACATTTGTCAACCAGAAAACTTCAGTTTCAATTTTAATCTTTAGACAAATAAATCTTCCATTCACATCTGTAAGGCTTTCCATAGTCTTAATATTTAACCCTTTCCTTATGAAAATAGCAACTCCCCGTGATGATGAATTACCATTTGCCCAATAGGTTTTTCCATTCCACTCTTTGTCCCACTTAAATTGTACTTTATTATCCTCACAGTGTGTTTCTTGTAAAAAAGCAATATCCATTTTTTGGGTTGTTAACCAGAAAAAAATATTTCTCCGTTTTGCATTGTTATTCAACCCATTTACATTCATAGAAATGATTTTTAGATACATTGATGAGAATTTTTTTTTTTTTTTTTTTTAGGAACTATTTACATAAGTAGATAACACCCTAAATCAGTCACATCAGACTAATATAAAAACTATATGAGAGTTTGTAGGATACTTCCCTCTTATGAGAATTCATCATCTACTCTTCCCTGTTTTGAGACTCCACTTTGGGGACTCATGGATGTTGCACTAATGCTCCTCTTTTTGGTCTGTTTCACAGTCTGTACATGGTCGAGAATCATCCTGGTCAGGACACTTGCCCCATGGGGGCTGATGTGAATGCCAGTAGGGTCATTTTGGTCATAACAGGCTCTAACAATTGTACCTTTGTTGGTAAAGCCTTTTTCAAGTTCCATATAGTAGTGGTTTGTTCGTTTACACAGAGTTTTCACAAAACTATTTACACTGGTAATCACATGATTTATTTTGTCACTCTGAACACTTTTCCCTCGCTTAGGCAGGATGCTACACAGTGTAATCCTTGACCTTGGAAAATGAAATCTTATTTTCTCCACTGCTGTAGTAAAGTTAATGGTGATATTGTCAATGCTATTGCTTGAATTCTTGGTAACATCATTGGTTCCAAGATGGACCACCACATCCTCCACCACTGTACTGTTAATAGACGGGTCCTGTTCACAAAGTTGTAGAAGTTCTTCTACTTTGCCAACTGTAGCCCCTGATTTGGATACAATTTTCATGTTTGGATCTGATATATCCAACCGATTACAGTTGGAGGCACCAAGTATCACAGTTGTAATTCCTAGTATACTTCGAGTTTGTGACGACTCCTGTTGCAGAGTATCTATAGGTGTGAGGTCTACGTTTCTGATAGCGTTACTTGTTTCATGATAGTCACTGTTGTCAATAGATCTCACCTTTGTGCTATTTTCCTCAGACTGCAGTTCATTGTGGCCAGGTGCTAGCTGACCTTTGTTTCTCAGGTCTGGCTCTGGGCAATCCCTTACTAGGTGAGAAGTGCTCTTACACCTGTGACACTGCCTTGGTATTGTTGGTTTATTGGGGCACCGAAAAAAGGGGTGATCTGTCCCCGAACAAAAACGACACTCTGTCCTGTTATTATCCGCATATATCCTCACTGTATAATTCCCAAATTTTGTTTCATTTGGGATCACTGTTTTAGCATTAAGTAGTTGAATGTACCTAACTCCAGTTTCAATATCAGAGTCTTTGAGTGTTCCCCTCTTTAGACTCCCGGGTACTACCTCTCCAAACTGTAACATTAGTGTGTTAATAAATTGGTCACTTAATTCATATGGTGCGTCTTTGATTGTCACATTTGTTACATTCTTTTCCACATCTAAAACACGGAAGAATCGATTTCTCACATTAATTCCATTGATGATCATGTCTCTTTTCTTATCTTTGCTGGACAAAGTTACAATGCATTCAGAGTTTGCTGTTGTCAGCTGTATACACTTCACACATCCCCTACCTAGGGCCTCTTCAATGCCTGCTAGTACTTCTTCATGGGTGACTCTATATAAATTCCTAGTGTAGAAATGTACACTGAATTCTCTGGAAAGCCCTTGATTACTCATCCCCTCCTTCTCTCCTTAGGATAAGTGGCACTAATATTCAAGGTTTGACAAAAATCAACCAGAAATTTTAGTGAAAAAAACACTAAAATTTGTATGAATTGTCTCTGCTGATTTTTTCCCTGTCTAGTGCCAACCAAGGGCAATAACTCAATCCAATGTTAACCTATCTTTTCTGAGGTTAACTACCCATACCTATGTTAATCGATCCTTTATGAGGTTTACTAATCATACCTACGTTAACCGATCCTTCCGGTGGTTTATTACCCATGCGTATGTTAACCGATCCTTCCTGAGGTTTACTACCCATACCTATGTTAACCGATCCTTCCTATACCTATGCTAACCGATCCTTACTGAGGTTTAATACCAATACCTATGTTAAGCAATCATTCCTGAGGTTTACTACCCATACCTATGTTAACCGATCTTTCTTGAGATTTCCTACCAATACCTATGTTAACCGATCCTTCCTCAGGTTTACTACCTATATATGTTAACCGTTTCTCTTGAGGATTACTTTCCATACCTATGATAACCGATCGTGCCTGAGGATTACTAATCATACCTATGTTAACCGATCTTTCTTGAGATTTCCTACCAATACCTATGTTAACCGATCCTTCCTCAGGTTTATTACTTATATATGTTAACCGTTTCTCTTGAGGATTACTTTCCATACCTATGATAACCGATCGTGCCTGAGGATTACTAATCATACCTATGTTAACCGATCCTTCCTCAGGTTTATTACTTATATATGTTAACCGTTTCTCTTGAGGATTACTTTCCATACCTATGATAACCGATCGTGCCTGAGGATTACTAATCATACCTATGTTAACCGATCCTTCCTGAGGTTTACTACCAATACCTATGTTAACTGATCCTTGCTGAGGTTTACTACCAATATATGTTAAGTGATCCTTTCTGAGGTTTACTACCCATAGCTATGTTAACCGACCCTTCCTTCTTGAGGATTACTTTCCATACCTATGATAACCGATCGTGCCTGAGGATTACTAATCATACCTATGTTAATCGATCCTTCCTGAGGTTTATTACTTATATATGTTAACCCATACTTATGTTTACCGATCCTTTCTGAGGTTTACTACCCATACCTATGTTAACCGATCCTTTCTGATGTTTACAACGGATAACTATGTTTACCGATCCTTCCTGAGGTTTACTACCCATACCTATGTTAACCGATCCCTCCTGAAGATTAATTCCCATACCTATGTTAACCGATCCTTCCTGAGGTTTATTACCCATACCAATGTTAACCTATCCCTCCTGAGGTTAACTACGCATACCTATGTTAACCGATCCTTCCTGAGGGTCACATCCCATACCTATGTTAACCGATCCTTTCTGAGGTTTACTACCCATACCTATGTTAACCTATCGTTCGTGAGGTTAACTACTGATACCTATGTTAACCTATCCTTCCTCAGGATTAATTCCCATACCTGTGTTAACCGATCATTCTTGACGTTTACTACCCATACCTATGTTAACCGATGCTTGTTGATGTTTACTACCATCCCAATGTTAACCTATCCTTCCTGCGGTTAACTACTCATACCTATGTTAACCGATCCTTCCTGGGATTAACTAACCATCAATATGTTAACAAATCCATTCTAAGGTTTACTCCCTATACCTATGTTAACCTATCCTTCCTGAGGTTTACTACCCATACGTATAGTAAACGATCCTTCCTGAGGTTACTTCCCATACCTATGTTAACATATCCTTTATGTTAACCATACCTATGTTAATCGATTCTTCATCAGGTTTACTACCCATACCTATGTTAACCGATCCTTCCTGAGGTTTACTACCCATACCTATGTTAACCGATCATTTCTGAGGTTTACAACCCATATCTATGTTCACCGATCCTTCCTGGGGTTTACTAATCATACCTACGTTTATCGATCCTTCCTGAGGTTTACTACCCATACCTATGTTAACCGATCATTCCTGAGGATTAATTTACATACCTATGTTAACCGATCCTTGCTGAGGTTTATTACCCATACCAATGTTAACCTATCCCTACTGAGGTTAACTACCCATACCTATGTTAACCTATCCTTCCTGACGGTCACATCCCATACCTATGTTGAACGATCCTTTCTGAGGATTAATTCCCATACCTATGTTAACCGATCTTTCTTGACGTTTACTACCAATACCTATGTTAACCGATCCTTCCTGAGGATTACTACCCATACATATGTCAACA